ATCATTTGAGAGATACAAATTAGCACAAGGCTGAAAATCCATCTCACTCAGAAAGAATCGCTATTATCAACAAACAACCAGTAACAAATGCTGGCAGGGATGTGGGAGAAAGAAACATTACCCCACTATTAGTGAGAGTGTAGACTGGTGCAACTTCTGTGGATATCAGTATGGAGATTCCCCAAACCTAGGAATAAAGGTCCCATTTGACTCAGCTATTCCCATTCTTGGTATCTTCTCAAAAGAATTAAAAGCGTCCTACAACAGTGATATATGCACACCATGTTTGTAGCAGCACAGTTTGTCATGGCTAAATCTTGAAATCAACCCAAATGCCAATCAACTAACAGATGGATAAAAACTATGTGTTTTTTTTATATACAATGGAGCACTACTCAGCTACAAAAAATGATAAATATTAGACATTTATAGCTAAATGTATGGACTTTGAGAGCACACTCTTAAATGAAATAAATTGGACATATATGTGTAAATATAACATTATCTCTGTGGTGTGAAAAACTGAGAGTGTAAATAAGAACCAAGATGTATAATGGATATTGTAAAATAGGAAGCAATTGTTCAAAAGGAAGGGGAAGCTGAAGGAGAATGGAAGGGAAAGTTTAACAAAAATTAGAAAAAAAGGGATAAAATGGAAACAAAGTTTTATAAATAAAGAAGAGAACAAAAGCTAAAGAGAGGGTCAGGGAGTGGGAAAAAAGAAGAACTAAGAAACATCATGTTCAGGTATAAATTCTCTATAATAAATGTGATCCTTAATGTATATTTAAATTGCAAAAATAAACAATTATTTTTTAAAAAAGAAAAATATCCATTACGACTTTTAAAAGCTCATATTCTTGGGGATCTAGAAAGTGTTGCACATGTATAGGGCTCTGTGTGGCTTAAAAAAGATGTAAGAAATCACTAACTGCTCACCTCTGACTGACTTCCGGGCTCTGTGCAAGCAGAAAGTATAGGAAAGTAAATCTACCAGATGCCCGTCTAAGTGCCACAAGCTTGGGCCAAAATGCACCGAGGTTGTCAGCAAACAATGGGAAACCTGTTGGTTCTAAAACCTCTGTGCAATTACTAGCCAGCTATAATCTAATAGCTAACAGAGTAGAGACTTTGTTGGTACATAAGACAGGATATATGTATCACAAATTTCTTAGAAAAATCATCACTTCAGCAACAACAACAAACAGCAACAATCCTGAGTAAATCTGGAACTCTGATTTTCAGAATTGCTTCATTTTATTAAGATTTGCAGTTTTAAATAATGAAAGAGCTGCATACAAATAAGTAAGAAAATATGGCAACTGTAGAGAGCAAGCTGTACCTTGCTGCAAATTACTCCATGTCGAATAGAATAATAGCTTTCAGGCTATGCTTCTCCCTGAGTGTCTCCATTTTGCATTTGATCTTAGCCAGAAGGCCAAGAATCAATGTGACTCCATTCTGCAAAAGAACAACTTTCTCCATCTTGAGTGCAAATGCAGAAGAAAAATGGCTTGTGTGCAAATAGAAAATCACCAGGTGTTGAGCATACCAAACATATCAATAAAACAAATCTCAACTATACAGCACAATCATAAGACACAAACTAATAAATACATTAATCTTGCTAATAAAAAACTGTCACTTGCAAACTTTTAAGATTAAAACAAGGAGACTTGAGAATATGGCTTATTTAAGTTATATCAGAAAAAAAACCAAGGCTGTGGGTTTATGAGACACATCAAGGACCAAAAAATGAAGCAACCTTCTCACCAGGGGCATGAAAGGGAGGGATACCCAGCACTGGGTTATGGACATGCCGCACTCATGAGACCAGCTAGTGACTGTATCGTGAGGTAGACTTGTCAGCAACTCAGGCTCTGTCTCTCAATTTCCAGTCAGCTTGACCCCCTCCTTGACACAGCCCATTTAACTAACTGCCTTCCAGACCCTGAACCAACTTTACACTCATCAACAAGCTCCTTGCCTTGTCTTTATTGGTTTTCAGATCTTTCTTTTCAAATCCTATACCTATTAACCTTTTCTTAATTCTTGTGTAATCTATATATTGTGTAAATGTGATGTGTGACGTGAGTGGTATACATATTATTCAGAAAATTAAAATAAAAGAATCTGTGATTACCCAGCTCATTGGCTTCCAAGTCAACCCTGAGTACTTGGTCTGATTAGGCTGACACAATTGATATGGCTAATGAATGTATCATTATTCAAAAAGTTCTGACATTGTGGAAAGAGAAAAGTGCCTGATTATGTTACTAGCATAGTTCGCTCATGACAAGAAAAAAAAGTAGTCAATAAAAATTATTCCTGGGGAAATCTAGACATTGGGATTAATACATAAAGACTTTAAACTATAAACATGTTCAAAGGAATAGCGGAAACCATACCTAAAGAATTAAAAGAAAGTATCTAGTGATGGTGGCACATACCTGTAACCCCAGAGCTTGGGGTTCTGAGGTAGGACGATAACAAGTTCAAGGCCAATTTAGGTTACATAGTGAGTTCAAGGCCAGCCTGAACTACATAGGAAGATCCTGTCTCAAAAAAAAAAATACATACAACAGACAAATAAATAGAAAAAGAAAGTATGAGAATGATGTGATAAAACACAGGATACTAATAAATATAAACCTTAATGACCTTGGGACAGGTAATAATTTTATATGATGTCAGAAATATTGCCAACAAAATGGTAAATTGAACAGCAGAGGGGTTTCTGAGACAGATGGAAAATTCGAAGGTATTCTGAATTTTAAGTCTGAACAAACAGAACTATTGTGTCACCCAGTAATGTAAGAAGCAAAAAGAAAAGAACTGATTTAAGATGCTTCAGAGTTGACTGTCTGATGCTTAAACCATTGAATTTAATTCATTTTCTTCTCTATTTCTTATTGATTAGATAATTCACTATTGGAGGAAATCTAAAACACAGGAAAGAAAAGACTCTCATGTAATTCATCTGATCACTTGTTAATGACTCCAGTAAAAGGTCTGAATGTCAGAGTAAGAAATACTAGCTCCTGTAATTAATACCATTATCTTAGTAGTTTAAGTTATTTCAATGTTTGCTTATATCAAATTTAATGTAATATATATAGACTTGCAGAGAGTTAGAGTTCTGCTCTGTTCTGTCATTTAAAAAGCTATGCCTTTTCCATGATACGTCTCTACTCTCTGTAACAGATGAGTTTCAAGTCACTCCAGTCATCTTCCTAAGGGAAAAAGTGTAGAACTGAAAGGTGATGACAAACATTGCTCACTTCTGCCCCTAATTCACAAGCAGAAATTCAGTCAGAATGTCCCAGAGATAGATGGAAGGCATTAATTTAGCTCAATGTTTATCACAAAAATGAAAGTAGATAAAATCCTTACCAGAGTAGCTGTGCCTTCAGTATTAATCTTGAATAAATGTCTTATTTTATGCCCTGAAAGCAATACCCACAAACTACTGACAGATAAAACCAAAAGTAATCACAGCAAGGAAGTGATAATATACAAATTGTCATAACCTGGATGTGAAAACTAACTGTGCTGCCATTTGTTTCAAAACTAAAACTACAGCGGCATAAGCACCTGCCTTGCAAGCAGGCAGTCGTGAGTTCGATCCCTGGTACCGATAAAAAAGGAAAAAGACAAAAAAAAAAAAAAAAAAAAAAAACTAAAACTAACGTAAGCAAAATATGGATAACTTCAATTATAAACTTTCTTCCACTAGTCTTTCTTTGAATAAGTTGCCAAAGTAGTTTTAGCTTTAATTTATAAAGCCTGCAACAAGAGAAAAGTAGAATGTTGTCATAAAATTTAATAATGGAATTTCATCCTTTATTGTTTCATTTTCTGTGTAAACATGTTTACATATGGCTATACAGATTTAATTGTGAATGTAAAAAATCTCAGCTATGACAAAAGAAACTCTGCAGTAGAGAAATAATAGATTTAAGTGCATAAGAAATAAATCCTTTCATAAGTCCTTTGTTAAACTGTAATTAGCTGAACAATTCTTTCATTCATGTCTAAGTTAGTAAATATTTACTCCTGTGTTTTAGGGCTTTTAAATTACTGCCTGAGCTCTCAAATTGAAAAAAAAAAACTAATTAGATAAATTCATTATTCTGGAAACAAAGGCAGTGTATTTATTATAGGATGATAGGTCTATGTGTTTTCCACTTCATTTTACACATGCAACACACACACACACACACACACACACACACACACACACACACACACACACAAAACCTCTCTGAAGCAGGAATAAGACTGGCTGCTACATGACTTGTGATATCACAGAATTTCCAGTAAGGATCAAGTTGTTTTCCTTGAAAACTTCAAAAGGGAAATCCAGTGTCTGTTCCAGATTCCACAAGCGTCTGCTTTGCAACCAGTATTTCCCTGCAGTCTGTATCTCGGAATCATGCTTGCTTTCTCACAGACTTCCACTGCACTTAGATTGGTCAGAAGGAAGCAGAGGAGGAGCCATTCTAAACATTTTTTTTTCCTTCATGTACCATATAAATCAGCAGCCGGCACCCTCAGCTCCTCACACTCAAAAGCACGGCTTAGGCTGGGAACTGCCGCTTCTGAGAGGCAGCCGGTGTGACCATGTGCACAAAGATTTGGCTTCCAGTGGCACAGAGACTCCCAGGAAAATTACTTTGAAAAAACACGAATGCACAAGAGCATTGAAGGCTTTATAAATTAAAGCTAAAGTCAAAGCAGAAGTGAGAACAAAAAGCAAACAGCAGACTTTTCTACAGAGAATAAGCATTTTGAAGCCTGAGAAGTTTAAAGTAATGATTAGAGCCATACCTGAAAAAGACTAAAAACTCCAATTCAAGGTCTGATGCTGTGACTGCCCTCCCAGCAGGAATGCAAACCACAGGCTCATAACTCCCAGTTACAAAGACTGGAAGTAACAGAGATTCCCAGACTCTGGAGACTCAATCAGTTCAAGGGGTTTTGAATCCACTTACCGCCTGATGATGAACTCCACCTACCACCATGGGATGCACACTTCACTTCACTTCTGGAACCGCAGCAACTACGGACTGCACAGCAATGCCAGCGAGCCCCTGGGAAAAGGCTATTCTGATGGAGGTTGCTACGAGCAACTTTTTGTCTCCCCAGAGGTGTTTGTGACTCTGGGTGTCATAAGCTTGTTGGAAAATATCCTGGTGATCGTGGCAATAGCTAAGAACAAGAATCTGCACTCACCCATGTACTTTTTCATCTGCAGCCTGGCTGTGGCAGATATGCTGGTGAGTGTTTCCAATGGATCAGAAACAATTGTCATCACCCTGTTAAACAGTACAGATACAGATGCGCAGAGCTTCACAGTGAACATTGATAATGTCATTGACTCTGTGATCTGTAGCTCCTTGCTTGCATCGATTTGCAGCCTGCTTTCCATTGCAGTGGACAGGTATTTTACTATATTTTATGCTCTCCAGTACCATAACATTATGACTGTTAAACGGGTTGGGATCATCATAAGTTGTATTTGGGCAGCTTGTACAGTTTCAGGCATTCTGTTTATCATTTACTCGGATAGTAGTGCTGTCATCATCTGCCTCATCACCATGTTCTTCACCATGCTGGCTCTCATGGCATCTCTTTATGTCCACATGTTCCTGATGGCTAGACTTCACATTAAGAGAATTGCTGTCCTGCCAGGCACTGGTACCATTCGTCAAGGTGCTAACATGAAGGGTGCAATTACCTTGACTATACTGATTGGAGTTTTTGTGGTTTGCTGGGCCCCATTCTTTCTCCACCTAATATTCTACATCTCCTGTCCCCAAAATCCATACTGTGTGTGCTTCATGTCTCACTTTAACTTGTACCTCATACTAATTATGTGTAATTCAATCATCGATCCTCTCATTTATGCACTTCGGAGTCAAGAACTGAGGAAAACCTTCAAAGAGATCATCTGTTGCTACCCCTTGGGAGGCCTCTGTGACTTGTCTAGCAGATATTAAGTGGAGTCAGAGGATACACTAAAAACCTGCAAAAGACTTTTTCATTCTTATACAACCTGCACAATATAATTCAGCAATTGCTGTGTCTTCTGTGTAGTGCTTTGATTGGAAATATCTATTGTATAAATTTGTTTGTGGTTTTGACATAAAAAATATCTAGTATTAGTATTATTTAAATGTCATGCTATCTTTGGTTGTGAAATGTTAATGTATATTATAGGTCACAGGTACTTTAGATTTACAAAAACAACAGACATGTTTATTAAAAGCTCAACAATTTCTCTCCTTGTCATTCATCAGACTTTGTCATTTCATTCTGGTAAAATAGAATTCAGAGATTCACTAAATATGCTCTCATAAAAGTTATCATATATTATACTGTCCAACACTGAAATGTAGAGGTTTGACTCTAACATTAAGGGAGAAATATTTTAAACAATACATACCTAATCATTAAATAATTCAGTGTCCCCAGTGAAATTTCAAGTATTTTCACTAAAGCTTGTTCTCCCTGTGCAGAAGGAGAAACGAAGATATTCTTGAGAGAAAGGAGTTATTGGAAAAAAAAGTAATTTTTTGCATCAGAAAAGTATCATGCTTCTCACAGACAGAAAGATTCATCTGCCCAAACAAACAGCCTCATACTGCACACAGGCAGTGGGGGCACAGTGGGGGAGGGGGTAATAGCAGCTTGCAGAAATCAGAGCTCTCTGGAAAACCTAAGCTGTCATGTCAAGGTGAACTTCGGATACAAAAGTACCCCCAACCATGAGTGATAAAAATCAATCAATCAATCAATAAATAAATAAATAAATAAATAAATAAAGACTTTCTGCCACCTTTAAATAGGGACTCAGTGTTTGCTGAAATGTTCAGGAGAGTTATTATTCCATTCAGAAGTTCAGCATTCAATCTCAAAACTCCTATATAATTGATGAATTCGTTCACATTTATGAAGGAGGTGACTTGCTATTTACTTATTGCTTATTTCTTAAACTGAGGCACAAGTGCTGACCATCAAAGATTTTAAATTTCCAAAACAAACCCCTAGCACCAGAGTTTTCAGGTGATATTTGTAAATACCTAAATGAGGGTGCTTGTGATGAGGTACATTTTCAATAGGAAATAAAGGCACTGACTGAATCCCAACAGAGGTCGTGAAATAAACTAACCTTCCAGTGTCACAACTGGGAGAATGAATCCCTATTTTGCTCCAGAATAATCCCACATTTTTGGCCACTGAGCAATAAAACCTGTGCTTTCCAGTCTGAGTGTACTGTAAAATAGAGAAGAGTGTATCAAGCTGAATATTAGCAGAAAACTATCTTGTGACTGAATGTTTAGTGTCTCTATATGCTCCTGAAGCAGAGATCATATACAAAGGGACATCTTTTATTCAGATCTAATTGTTTGCACATTAATTATAAGACTTGAGAAACATTTAGCATTCATATGGAAACACTAAATCAAAACATACTGGCAAAGTCATTACATTTACAGGTGAAAAGTAATCCTGAAGCAGGATTCTAATACTTTTGATTTGTCTATTTTAATGCAAAAATAAATATGAGTTTTAAAATACAGGCTATTATAATCCTTATAACCTGCTGTTGCTTGGGTCTGAAGTGTGCAGAGGTCCACATGATAAACGTTTGCTCCACAGGATGACACTGTCGAGAAGTGGTGAGCCTGCAAAAGGTGGAGCCTAGTGAGAAGTCCTTGGGTCACTGAAGATGTGCACTTGAAAAAGATAATGGGACAGCAGCCTTCTCCTCTTTCTCTCTGTTGCTCCCTGGTCTTGAGGAGAGCTGTGAACTTCTGCCATGATGTGCTGCCTGACCACTGACCCAAGGCAACAGAACCAACTGATCATGGACTTAAATTTCTAAAGTTATGGGCCAAATAAATCTTTTTTCCTTTATAAATTAACTATCCCAGTATTTGTTATAGTGATGGGACCCTCTTAGCATGTTATAGGCACACAGATGGTGTGTTTGCTGTGGTTGTTATCCCTGTTCATTCTTTCACATAATGATTCTGAGAAACCCCAGACACTGAAGACACTGAAAAAAGATTCGTAAGCGTGGCATGATTCGTGTAGTGGCTGTCTTTTCAGTTGATTCTATTTCTCCCTTATGTGGCATCTCAAATGCTCAGTAGGAAATTCCAATTTATATTCTTTACATTAAAACCTTCTTCTGGACAGGTTATAGTGCACGTTGTGTATGAGTCACCACCGGGCTTCCTTAGATGCCTGTGGCATTATTTTGACCTTGGGTGTCTTTTAGCGCTGAGAATATTATTCACATATCCAGTTCTCCAAACTTCCCCCAGTGATATCATTTTCTGTTATTCTAGTAAAATATATACGCTCCCCCAGAAGGAAAATCCATAACTAAGCCATCCCTGACCTTCATCTCACATCCAGCAAAATTTGGACCCTCTCCAGCTCTAACTGAATGTCTATTTTTTTAACCATGGTGATGCTATGAAATTCTAAGCACAAACAAATGTAATCAGGATTGGAAAGTGCAGGGGAGAGTGGAGCTGGAGGTTTGGAGGAAAGGAGTTTGAAATGCACAAAATGAGGGCACCACAGGACACTGACATTTTGAGCAGAAGCACAAGAATTAGTTACTCCACTTTGAGAACTTTAAATATGTTTAGGACAAAGAAATGGTTTGTAGAAATGCATGAGGACTTTCAACATAAGAGGAAGGGATCCTATTTCTGCTCCTTTCACATCTACATCTAATAGGAGTGTGTCCCTGAGATAAGGCTTACAAAGTTATCCAATCATAATGTGAATGTTCCAGATTGGTTCTCAGAGCCTGGCCAGTTAAATACTGCAGTCTCATTTTCTATGCTGTTTTATTTTTGTGAATTTTACCTCCACTCTTTATGTGCAAGCTCCTTTGAGAATAAGAAGTCACATTTCATATTTTATTCCCACAGAGTCTAACATATTTGACATTTGAGAGATACTAAACACTGTCTAATATAAGTACAGTATTTTTGATTTCTGAAAATTGTTTCCACTGTAGTCTCACCTTGTACATTCTTGATGTTATGGCTATTTCAGTGCTTATGGATGAATTTTTTTCAGCAGTGGCTGCCTAGCCCTCATGCCCTTGTCCTACCTTACCTATCTTCAGAGAAGGACAACAGTTTGTTTGCAGAAGGGAACTGAGTTTCAGTTAAGTGACCTACACACAATAACCTGGTAAAAATCATCTCTAGCCACTCTTCTAGACAGCTATGATCAATTATAGATGTGGAATCATGGCACAAATAAAGTAATAAGGAAAGATATGTCCCACTGACCTTAAGTTTACTGGGAATAGAAGTAATTAGTAATGATTTTCATTATGTCACACATTGATCCATCTAGCTATGATGTTAGGAGTTAGAGCTGTTTGAGGCTAAGGATGCTTGTATGTCTAAAACTTAGCAGAAATGAGAATTTCTCCTCATGATACACCCTTTAGGGATAAAGCACACATGGGCAATAGTGAGTAGAAAGTAAAGTACAACATTATTTCTGTGGCCCTCTCACCTCCACTCCAGTGAAGTGCCTCCTAGAATATTGGACTGTAAGATGTGGCCCTATATTGTAGGACCCAAATGATCCCTATCTCCCACTAAATCCACGTGTTGACATTTTGCCACCTCTCAGCCAACAAAATGAATATCCCTGCACATCATCAATGAAAAGGCAAGGAAAAGAACATGGAAAAGAGAAAAGGAAAGAAGGGGCTGGGGATTTAGCACAGTGGCATAAGCGCCTGCCTTGCAAGCAGGCAGTCGTGAGTTCGATTCCTGGTACCGGTAAAATGGAAAAAAGACAAAAAAAAGGGGGGGGGAGAAAGAGAATGGTTATTACTCTTTAGATTAGCCATGTCAACTTAATGGAAAAATAAGTAAATGTCAAATAAATAAATAATGCATTTATGAGCTTCTGCTTTAAATACATACTGACCCAATCCCTCTGGTGGCTCAGGGATTTCTACATATGAAGTATAAAGATGCAAAATGATTGAAAGCAGTCCTGGTGGACTGTCTTGAAGTCTTCTGCATAGCAGTTACCTATTACTTGGATTGTGTGCCTTCTTGAAAATTCTCTGTAGGGAGATTTAAAGACTCTAGTGTAACTGATAGTAAATTTGGGCATTACAGGAGTCCTAAAACATGTCTACACAGCAGTTCTTCTGTTTGGTAAAAAAGAAACTGGTATAAGTAGAAAGGAAAATTACAAAGACTACTGTCTTCTTTTCTACCTATTTTTGTCATTCTGTTAATCGTGTTGTTCTAGGATATTTTGCCTTTAATCATTCCCTTACTAACTTAAAAGCCAATATTATTATACATGGTATGCATTCTCAATTTTTCCATTCAATTTGTTTTGTTGTGACACAAGAATGCCAAAAGAAACACAGTCATATTAGTTTGGTTAATTAGATCAGTGTTTGGTTCAAATAGATATAAATGTGAGCACTTTCCACCTTGCTTGACCTAGATTGTCCAGCTTCAGAGAATCTTACTGGAAAGAATACATTTCACATGCACATAAAAGCAGACTACAATCAGAAGTTCACATTTACTGCAAAAATTACAGCTTTATTTACCAAGCCCAAGAAACCGACCTATCACATATATGTACTACGGTATCACAAAAGGAATGAAGTAATAAAGGAAATTAGCCTAAATTAGTCACGCTGCAATACAAATCAATATATCCTTGAAATAATACTAAAGAAGGGAAAATGTTGTCTACAAAAAGATATCTAAGAATTTAATTACAACATTTGGATGGTCTTTCACAAATGACTCCTGTAAGTTTTCATTTACCAAATTGACAATTTTTTAAAAGCCAAATGAAACCAAATAAAAACCAGATGAAAAATACTCAAAGTTATTGAAGAAGCAGCAAAATGATTGATTTCCATTGTTTTATTTTCAAATGTAAATCGATACAATTATTTTCAAGGACACCATACAGT